TTTAAAAGTAAATATTCTTTTTTTGGGTTTTATTGTCCGAGTTGGAAGTAGATTCAATTCAGGTTCAATATAAGCTTAAAGTAGGTTTAATGTAGGTCCAAAGTAGGCTCAATATAGAATTTAAATATAAGTAAATATAGGTTTAATAGACTTCATCCCACTTGGAAAGATTCCCCGGAAAGTGAACCCTGGGGGTTCTATCAGAATTCCGCCCGAACTTCCAACGGAGTTCCGACGGAATTAGGACTCTAAAAATTTTGAAAAAAATTAATCGGAATTCCGTCGGAATCCCATCGAAAATTCTTTGGAACTCCGATGGAATTCCAACGGAATTACGTTGGAAGTTCCGGCGGAATTCTGATAGAACCTCCAGGGGTCACTTTCCGGGGAATCTTTCCAAGTGGGATGTTAGAAGAAGATAAATTTAATATAACTTTAAATCAGCTCAAAGTAGGCTCAATAGGGGCTGAAATTAGGCTAAAAGTAGACTGAAAGTAGGTTTTAATATAGTTTTAATAAAAGTTCAAAGTAAATGCAATATCAGTTCAATGTTAGGCTTAAAGTAGGTTTAAAGCAGGCTGAAAGTAGGCTGAATATTCAATATCAGTTCAAAATAGGGTCAATATAGGCTCAAACTGTAAATATAGGTTTAATGCAGACTCAATCTGGGCGCAAGATAGTTTTAATGTTTAAAATATCTAATATTGATTATAATTTTTAACATTTCAATTATTCCCAAGTGTTTCAACAATAAAATTTTTTCACAATAATAAAAATGTCACAATTATAAAAAAAAAAATTATAATTTTTCAAAGTTGAGTGCATACACTAATGATAGTTAAAAAAAAGAAGAAAAAAATTATATATAATTTTTATTTTTAACTAAAATTCCCACTAAATAAGGCCTTAATAAACAATTATATATTGAGAAAGAAAAAAAAAGTGATGAATCAAATATGCTGAGTAATGAACTCTCTAAAAAATACAAAGCTTGTATACATATATATATATGGTAAAGAAGGGAAATTTTCTCGTATATTGTTATATATGGAACTGGTGTGACACAAAAGATAAGAAAAGATCCATTGATATATAAGCAATTAGAGGTCGGAATGAGACCTTCAGCAATGCACAATGCGAGAGCACTGAAAGTGCATTGATGGATCAATGTGGTACAAGGTCACAATATATTGTCGAACAGTTAAGGTGCGCCTTTCACGTTATATATTTCTCTCTCTCTCTCTCTCTCTTTCTTTATACCGGAAGAATAGAAATCTATATATATATATATATAGTAATTATTTTAAATTATCAAATCGATTGAGCAATATGATTAAAAGGATTTGTGTATTTTACATATATACAATAAGCTCGATGTTAGTTTATAACTAGTTCAAAATTAGTTACGTATTGGTTTGGTACTAGTTCAAAATTGGTTAAGAACTGGTTCAGAACTAGTTTGCTTTTTTTTACTGGTATCGAACCAATTCAGTACTGGTTTGGAACTAGTTCAAAATTGGTTAAGAACTGGTTCAGAACTAGTTTTTTTTACTAGTATCGAACAAATTCAGTACTGGTTCGGAACTAGTTTTTTTTACTGGTATCGTACCAATTCAGTACTGGTTTGGAACTAGTTCAAAATTGGTTAAGAACTGGTTCAGAACTAGTTTTTTTTACTAGTATCGAACAAATTCAGTACTGGTTCGGAACTAGTTTTTTTTACTGGTATCGTACCAATTCAGTACTGGTTTGGAACTAGTTCAAAATTGGTTAAGAACTGGTTCAGAACTAGTTTTTTTCTGGTATCGAACCAATTCAGTACTGGTTTGGAACTAGTTTAAAATTGGTTAAGAACTAGTTTTTTTTACTGGTATTGAACCAATTCTGTACTGGTTCGGAACTAGTTTTTTTTACTGGTATCGAACCAATTCTGTACTGGTTCGGAACTAGTTTTTTTACTGGTATCGAACCAATTCTGTACTGGTTTGAAACTAGTTCAAAATTGGTTAAGAACTGGTTCAGAACTAGTTTTTTTTTCACTGGCATCGAACCAATTCAGTACTGGTTTGGAACTAGTTTAAAATTGGTTAAGAACTAGTTTTTTTTACTGGTATCGAACCAATTCTGTACTGGTTTGGAACTAGTTTTTTTTTACTGGTATCGTACCAATTCAGAACCAATTTAGTATTGGCTTGGAACTAGTTCAAAATTGATTAAGAACTTATTCAACACTAGTTTCTTACAGGTATCGAACCATTCTAGCACTGGTTTGAAACTAGTACAGTACTTGTTCAGAACGAATTTGCTACTGATTCAGAACTAGTTTTATATTTATATAAATGTAGATAATTAATTTTCGAAAATTAAATTAAACCAATTATCAGAATTATGGAATACGTCAATTCTGATATGATGATGAATCATAAATCACTGAAGCATAATAATTAAGAAAATTGTGTCTTAAAGGGGGTCATGTTTCGTCCCTTCGGGGATGCAAAAGTGACGCTTGCCTTTAATAATAATAATAATAATAATAATAACGACAAGGAGGCAAGACCCTTCGTGACGAGGAATTAATCTTCCAAATGTGAGTCTCGTTAGCACCATACCGTATAGCTTTATTCAAAATCAGTGAGGTTGAAAAAAAAAAAAAATATTTTCTTTTTTTTCTTTTATACATACACCAAAGGTCCTTCTACAAAAATAGGAAAGACAGTATAATCGCATAAGAATAATATAATAAAAATATAGTAAAAAAGAAAAAAAAATTTGGTTGTTTTAATATAATTAGTATAGTTAATTGATAATTTCTAAACAATTATAGTGAAATATTGTTTTTTTTTTTTTTTCTATTTTTAAATGTGTATTTAAGTCCGGCATGTCGTTACACAAATCCAGGAAAATAGTGAACGGTCACGATCATGAACGAAGTGACCGTGGGACACACACGTGAGTGACATTTATTGGACGCGGAGTGAGAGAGAGAGAGAACCATACACTTTGCTGACATGCTTAGTTTATTGGCTAGAGACCCAGATTCGCATAAGCATTTGTATTAACACATACACACACATATGCTGTATTGTGCGTATTTTTATTCCCCATCAATATACAATAAAAAAAAAAAATTATACCAATAATCACGAAAAAAAAATTTTTTTTCTCCATAATTAATATACAATCAATCGCAATATAATAATATTGAAAAAATACCCTTACAAATAAGATATTCAGCGTAAAATAATAAAAAAAAAAGTAGTATAAAATTCTGTTTTAGTTTTCAAACAATTTTTTTTTAACACAGGAAACTTTATATAATGGATACTTTTGTGTTGTTTCACCATTTCCTTCTCCGTTATGTGATGGTAGTTTACTCGAGGCAACTTTTATTAAGAGATAGATAAAAAAAAAAAAAAAAAAAACTGGAAAAAAGATAGAAAAAAATCTGAAAAATACCATCTCACAATTTTTCTCAGCCAATACTTTGGAGAGCAATTCTTCACCCAGTGAGAATCAGAAAGAAGAAGAGAAACTATTTTTTTCCTTTTTTCCCTCTCCCACACATCGCGCTCTTATTTACAGGCCAAGCTTTATTCGAAAATAAAGGCCAGAAAAGAAATTTTCCCAGACAGACTAGACGGATAGCAACTCGATTATGGACCTTCTTGTTTTCTGTGTCGTGAGGAAGGAAAAAGGGCTCTTTTTAAAGGATAGGAAGAGAAAGAAGGAAAATATCATCAGATAAAATGTAAAAAACAAAAAGAAAATATACTAAATACAAGAAGTAAGCCGATTTTCTGCTTGATTGAAAATCAACGACGTTTTATAATTACCTTCTCTTGAGCATTAGATTATATTTTTCAACTGAAATTAAAGTTTAAGTGAGTTTTTCCTCTTTTTTGGAAACTATTCGAAAATCGAGGATATATAATTAATAAAATTATTATTATTTACTAAAAATTTGTGATTTTTTTTTCAACTATTCATGTAAAAAAAATTTGTACTATAATTCAAAATTTAAAGAATTATTTATGATTTATCATTAGAAATAAAGTTTCGAATAGACTGAATTGTACAATAGTTCTTTAAATTTTCCACTAGATAGCGCGCATCTCACTTTGTCTCGCAGATGAGATTAGACTTTCGATTCTTTATAAAGGCAAGAGACGAAGAAATAATTGTCATTCAGTAGGGTCATCACTGATCCTCTTAGCAAATGATGAATTTAGATTATGATCAATGATTAAAATCCACTTCTGGGTAATTTTATTATCGCAAAGATTATCCATAATTTTTCTGATGCTACCAATGAACTTTATATTTATTTTAAAATTAATATTATATTTTTATATTATATTTCTTATGAAAATATTATTTTTATTATTACTTTTATTTTTATAACTATTATTTGGTATACTTTATTTTTGTTATTATATATTTAGTTTTAAACAAAAAAAAAAAAAAAATTTAAGAAGAGAGCAAAATAAGAAAAGAAATTGTGTGAGGTAAAAAAAAAGAAGAAGAAAAAGAAAAAGTCGAGGTAGTTATCCAATTTGGTTCAAGATGAAGGTGTTTATAAACTTGGTGAAAGGATAACTTTCATATATATATATATATATAGTTGTTTGATAATAGAGCACAAAGAAGTGGATTATCTGAATGGCAAATAGATCCAAGAGAGGAAAAAAAAAAAGTTATTTTGTTTTTATTGACACACAATAGAAAATGTACATATCAAAAGAATATAAAAATTGTGAAAATAGATAATAATATTATTCTATTTGAATGGCGTTATCAAAATTATTCGAAAAATTCGCAACATTCCTTAAATGTGTTCTGTTATCTTAAAGAATGGAATAATATATATATATATTGTAGAAGGGAAAGGAAAGTGTATGAGTATGATAAGAAAGTAAAAGGTGAAAGTGGGTTTTCAACTCTCTCGTAGAGTATATATAGAAAAGAAGGTATAAAAGTTGGATCTTGGAAGTCTGTGTACGAATACACACACGTTTTTCGCTAACAATCACTGCGATGGAGGGCCTCGACAAGAAGCGTGCAAGGGTACCTCAAGGTAGAGTATAAGAAGTAGGAAGCAAGAGAGACTAAACAAGTTCAGAGGGTTGTTACATCGAATGAGGGACATTGTACAACACAAGGAGAGAGAGAGAGAGAGAGAGAGAGAGAGAGAGAGAGAGAGAGAGAGAGAGAGAGAGAGAGAGAGATGAAAGCTTTCTCTTTGATCTGTAAAACCCACCTTATACTCAACAACTTCAATGCATGTATAGAATAATTTATGTTTCATTGGCCCCCTAAAAAGAGCCACTTTTCTTGCTTCGTCAATTGAATTTCAATTTTCCCTATAAAAAATGAGATTTCTTTTTTAAAAACTCCTACTTTCAGCCTACATTTGCATTTGTCTATACTTTAATCCTACACTGAACCTATTTTGAACCAATATTGGTCCTACATTACACGGAAAGAAAAGTATCAAACTTTATAAAAGCATTTTCAAATTTTGTAAAAGTATTTTCAAATCGTGGAAAATATTGTAAAATGCAAAATTTCCATATAAAAATTATTAATCTTTAATAAACTTTTATGAAATTTACTATATAGTTGTAATAAAATTTGGTAGAACGTATTTGATTCATTACCAAATTTTATTATAACTATAGTAAATTTTATAAAAGTTTATTAAATATTAGTAGTATTTTTTATATGGAAATTTTGCATTTTACAATATTTTCCACGACTTGAAAATACTTTTATAAAATTTGATATTTATTTTTTTTTCGTGTAGACATATACATAGTGCCTAGGATTGAACTAATTTTCAGCCAATATTGAACACATCTCATAGCTACATTGTCCCTTAAAACCTAAGCAGCGCCAAATATTGAACCGACTTTGACTCTATAAAAAAAATTATTTTTAATTAAAAATTAAAAGAAAAAAAATTAAAATACACTAAACTTTACAGAAAAATGAATAAAAAAAAAAAAGAATGCTTTGTAAAAAATATGAATTCGACATCATACTTTAAAAATTAAATTGTCGAGTGATGCGAATAAATGAAAGAAGAAAGAAAATTTTTCATAAATTAATTTTTTACATTAAAGAAGCTCGTTTTAATTAACTCCACTATAAACGTTTAAAGGCCGTTTTAATTCTCGATTTTCTCCCCTCTACTTTTTTTTTCTTTCTTTCTCCACTTATTCTAAAACACATTGCTCGCAGGTGTGCACTTTCTTTTTTACACTTTGACCCACAACCGTTACTGCGTATATATACATCATAGAATGAAGAGTTTACGATTTATTTATTTATATATATAAAACAAGAAAGCCAGAAGGTTACCAGGGCTTTTAGATTCCCTTCGACTCCGCAGATGTAATATCCGAACAATATATACTATGTTTAACTTCACCTTTTTCTACGTCTTGCAAAAAAAAAAAAAAAAACAAAATAAAAAAAAAAGTTTCCCTCTGCCAAGTTTTCTTTGATATTGTCAAAGGGCAAATTATTTCCTGTTGAAAAATTCATTTTATAATTTTATCCTTTTAAATATTCTTTACTTTAATTGTTAATATTTTTTTAATTATTCTCTTAACAATATTCAATAATAACATTAAAATTATTTTATTATTAAAAATTTATTATTTAATAAAATAGTTTAAAAAAATAATAAATATAATAGTTTATAAAAATAAGTTTATAATATAAAATACTCAGTGAAAAAAAAGTAAGATCTCTTCTTTATCTAATAAATGTGTCTGATAAAAAAATTTTAAACGAAGTTTTCTAAAAAAAAAAAAAAAGTAAAAAAAGATAATATGCAAAGTAGAAAAGTGATTGAAGTTTAAAATGGGGGTGAAAAGGGATTCTTTCATGTTCGTGAAAAATAATTTGCGGCTGAACGACCTCGTGAAGTGAGAAACGCTACCAGATATTCAAGCTGGCATGTTTCCAATTATGTCATCGTGGCTCGATTAGTTGCGGAAGGGTTCATGGCTAGCCGGATGTTTGCGAATCGATTATCGCCGTTATCCATTTCATATATAGGTATATAGAAAAGGAATATAATTATCCAAATGATTAAAATTACGGCATTTTTTTTTACCTTTCGAATTACTTGACTATGAAATAAATATATTTCCTTGAACCAAATATAATTCTTATTTGAGACAATTAAATTTTATTTAAATAAAATTTATTTAAAAGAAATTGAGTCAAATAATTTTAACTTTAATTTGTTAAAAAAAACGTATTTGATTGTTTCAATTGTAATGTGGCTTTTATGAATTATTATTTTAAAGTTAGAGTAGTTTTCGCTTAAAACACGTGACTAACATATTACGAGATATACGTTTGCTCGTCTGTCAACGACAAGTGTCAGGTATACATCGGAATGAAACTAATGAATATTCACAACTCACTTTAGAACGAAACGCGCGCCATTTGAATTTATATATATATACATATATAGAGAGAGAGAATTATATTATGCCATCGTTTCTCATTTCATTAAAAACTTTATTGGAATTCACTGGACACGATTGACAAATAAATTAATAACTTTATGAGAATTGATATTTCCACATTGTTTGGCTATAATAATAATAATAATGAATTTTTTTTTCCTTTTTTTTTTAGTGTCAGAATATTGGTAAATAAAAGATATATATTTTTTTTTATTAATTTAAAGTAACAGAAGCTTGACTATATGGATCGCAGTTGCTATCGCAATGATTTTTCACACCTTTTTTAGACATCGGATGTCTTCTTGCGCTTTAGACGCGTGTGGGACGAACTATCGGGTTTACGTCCTTGTGCATAAATACAATATATATATATATATATATATATATATATATATATATATATATATATATATATATATATATATATATTGAAGGAATATATGCTCTGCTTTTATCTCTCTCGCATCATACTTTTACGACCAGAGCACCGTAATAATTTTTCATCTCACTCTTCCCTTTAACTTCCTCTGTGTCTCTCTCTTCTCAGAATAATATATATAGGTATATACGTGGTAAGCCTTTCTCTTGCATAATACGCCGCAGGTAATAGCTATACATATATATGTCTCATACACTTGCATTTCCGGTTTTTATAACACACTTGACTTCCCGCAGTTGTTTACTAATTTATATATATATATATAATATCGCGTTATCTTTTCAATGTCTTTCTAATGATCAATTCAAGGTGAACCGCTAATTTTTTCAATACAAATTGTTTCTTTACTTTTTTTTTTTTTTTATTCGCGTGCAAAAATTCGCCAAACTAGTCCTGATCTGAATGGAAACCCGATCGGTGACCATACACTAGGCCATAGTTGGGCACCGCGGTTTTAATCGATTTTAATCAAAATTGGATTTCTTTTGTGATTTTAGAGTTTCATATATGAATTCCCTACTTCCGCCCTGACAGAGCCCGTTTTAACATTTTCCATTGGTTTATCAAACAAATTAAATTACCGAAAATTAGTTCGTCAATCTTTTTTTTTGCAATGGTATATGATTTTATATACAGAAATCTTATTTAAAACGGACTTTTTATTGTTTAAAATCATATCGGTTTGATGATATTTTAACTGAACGTGAGATTCGAAATTAGTCGTACTAACAACGACATATTTTGGCATTTCGCCCAATTTCTCTCTCTCTCTCTCTCTCTCTCTCTCTCTCTCTCTTAGTCTCTGGAACTTGGTTTCTGTTCGTATATATATATATATAATCTGTATGCGCGAATCTTGGCACTTGATTTTCCCTTCTATTCAATCCTTTACTCCATATCAGAATAGTGGGATTCTGATTCGCTTCCGCATTATTAACACGAGCCACTGATTTCACTGGTTAAATATATATATATATAAAATTCTTGAACTTGTACGCAATTGCCTTAAAAGTGTCAGCCTTGAATTTATGTTTAACCTTTTTTTTTTTATAATCGCAAAATTTTGTAATAAAACTAGTTTTATTGTCTCAACATTGAAAAAACAAAATTATAACTATATTTACCTTTGGGGTAATATATACATATATATATATATATATTGATCATGCAGCTCGAGTTTTGGATTTCAGTAACCTTGCTGTGTGTAATGATAACGTACGGATGGTTGATACTCGTGGCAAAGCATACCATCTACACGCAACGTTGCACTTTGTGCAATATGACGTTGACGTTAACGAGCAAATTCTTGCACAACGACACAATATATTACATCCGCACAGAATGTCAATATTTTTTTTCTTTATTTTCTTTTTCTCAAAAATCGATTCAAAACTATTATATATTATATATATATATTAAAATTATAATTCAATTATTTCTAAAAATACATTATGACACCGTCCGACACAATTTTTGACCTACAAAAAAAATTTAACATTTTCGGAAACTAGGACCCCAAAAAAAATACATAACCGTATCTGGCCGTTTTGTTAGATCAAATCGTTTGTGGTTTTTACACGGAAAAAAAGAAAAAGTAACTTTTACTACTTTAAAAGTAAAATTGGACCTGTCCGAAGTTTCTCATCTCTGGCAACTTTTACTCCAAAAATAGTAAAATTTACTTCAGAAATAGTAAAAATTACTACCGAAACAGTAAAATTTACTACAGAAATAGTCAATTTTACTATTTTTCGAGTAAAAGTTGCCAGAGATGCGCAGAAACTTCGGACAGGTCCAATTTTACTTTTAAAGTAGTAAAAGTTACTTTATTCGTTTTTCCATTTTTCTCCGTGTAGGGATGAAAACAACCCCTAAATGAAAAGTGACAAGATATCTTTTTAAAATTATTAATATTTTATAAAACTTGGTATCTGGGGGTTTTCGGAGTCACTGATTATTAATCTGATATCAGATTTTCAAAATGGCGGATTCAATATGGCGCTCAAAATCAGGGCCGAATTTAGACCTACGGGGGCCCTAAACACACAAAAGTTATAGATCTTATTAAAAGGCATTTTTTTATATCTGATGCATTTTTTTCAATTTTGAATATTTTACCCAATAAACGAAACAAAACCATAAATTTTGGAA